TTCCCAGACAGTAGAGATAGGGATGGATTCCGTGCGGATCCGAGAGGCGAAGGAGGGAGACTGTGGAAATATCCTGAGGCTGATTCGGGTGAAGTTTGCGGTTGGGAAAACCAGGGTCCCAGAAGGGGTCAGAGTGGCATGGCTGGAGGGGTCGGGTAGGAGGCCGAGGGTGGGGAGGGAATGAAAACAGGGGAAGGGGGTGTGAGCAGCGGCAGGCGATGGGAGCAGGGGGAGGAACGCGCCCTGGGGTCCTGCTCCAGCACTTGCCCTAATCTGGCCTCTGTACCCATGCTGTAGGAACTAGCTGAGTACGAGAAATTCTCGAATCAAGTGAAGATCAGTGAAGAAGGTAGGGGCCCAGCACTTCGGTCCTGACGGAGGCCGGGGTGGGAAAATGAGAGATGGGTTCCCCAAACAGTAGCTCAAGGCCGGGCACACACCCAGGCCCTCTTTCTCTCTTTGTTACAACTCTGATTTCTGCAGCCCTGAAGGCAGATGGATTTAGAGAGAATCCTTTCTATCACTGTTTGGTAGCAGAGATTTTTCCCGGCCCCGGGGAGCCACAGGGTAAGAACACCTCGACCTCAGAGGTATGCCTCTCCTCAGAGGTATGCCTCGCCAGTCAGCCTCAGAGGTCTCCCCTGAGGCACCCAGTGGCCTGACTCCTCTTTCTTCTCTCTTTTTCAGGGCCCTGTGTGGTGGCCTATGGGATATATTACTTCATCTACAGCACGTGGAAGGGACGCAACGTTTATTTGGAAGACATATATGTGAAGCCAGAATACCGGGGTACAGGACAGAAGCTGAGGCTGGGGCGGGAGAAAAGCAACCCATAGATTTGACCACCATCTAATCCAAGCCTATGGCCTTTTCTGATCCCCTCCAACTCACACAATTTCTCTTTTTTGCCTTTTTCTCCCCACATCAGGTCAGGGGATTGGTTCCAAAATAATCAAAAAGGTGGCTGAGGTGAGGAGGGGGATGGGTCTACAAGCCCCGCCCTGGGAAGGCAAAGGTTTATGGGAGGGAATTGGCTCGAATAGAGGATGAGAAAACCTTTTCTTTTCTGAATCCAGGAAAGTGAAAGAGTGATGTCTTTTCCCACAGGTGGCCCTAGATAAGGGCTGCTCCCAGTTCCGCCTGGCAGTCCTGAACTGGAATAAGAGGGCCATGGACTTGTACAAGGCCCTAGGAGCCCAAGATCTGACTGAAGCCGAGGGCTGGCATTCCTTTTGCTTTGAAGGAGAGGCGATGAGGGAGTTGGCAGGAAAGTGATGCCATCCCTTGGGTATCTCTCAGTATGTGAGCTTCTCCTTCTCCACCTGCCCAAGTACTCCTCAGAGACTATCTCCACTGAAGAAAAGAGAGTTGGAGGTGAATATTCCTGAAGTACAGAAAGAGCGGAATTGAGGGAGAGGTCTTTCCACCTCCTTATTGAGGGTGAAAAATAAACAAGAATCACTATGTCCAGATGTTGGTAGAAGAGTTGATGTTTTCATATTTTTCAGCCGCTTTATGACCCTTCCTCAGTGTTCTGGTCAGTGAATGTCACTCCTAGGGGTAAAGGTGAGCTGAGGGTGAGGTGACTTTCACCCTCAGTGATCCAGAGTCTTGGCTCTGGCCCGTGGACTATAGAAAAAAGAAGAGCAAGGTACTAGCTTGGCATATCAGGCTTCTTGGTCACTTTTGGGACCCAGACAAAGACTTCCAATGTCTAGATGAGCTGTGAGATCCAAGACTGAGGCAGGCCCACGGACTCAACAGAGGGAACAGGCTGCCACCTGGTGGAAGTATTTCAGAGTCACTGGGAAGGACACTGGCCCCAACTTTTTATTTTTTTAATGCCTACAGCATATGGTCTTCCTAGGTTGTCTCCCATCTCACCCTGCTTAGCTTCCGAGATCAGACATCAGGCTTGTTCAGGGTGGCATGGCCGTAGACCATGGACCATGGTTCCACTGGGGCGTGAACCCAGGACCTTCTGCGTGTAAAGCAGACATGCTAACCGCTACACTATGGAACCATGTCTCTCCAACTTTTTGAAAATCAGCTCAGCTAGCTAGTGCTCTTTATTTTTCAAAAGACACAAACCCTTTATTTTCAGTTCAGCAAAACCAAAAAAAACCTTTAGGACCCATGGAGACAAGGAAGGGAACAGGCTCGTTTCTCACTTTTATAATATTTTATACATAAGTACGTTAACCCTTTGGTATCATTTCTTTGGATTTTTTCAATGTATGTATATACATATAATTAGTTGAGTGTGTAGGGATTTATGAGACCATACACTTTTGCAACCTGTTTTTTCATTTACTATATTAGAAGCATCTTCCCATGCCATTAAACATAAACATCTGTCATCCCTTTCAATGGTGGCATATTATTACCTTTGTGGATGAACTATTGGTTAAATGGTCACAGTTTAGACATTGAAAGGGGACAAGCAGGTAATAAATACGTAAATTGTAAGAAACAAGATCTACTGAAGTCTAGATAGAGTTAAAGATCCATCTTAAGTTCAAATTAGAAAAAAAGATTCAGCCAAACAGTACACTGTTCTTCCCAATTCTTCCAGAGTGATGCCAAATTTTGGCCTTTAAAACTAGTTTACTGCAGATAGGCTTATACGACAACCTTGATCAAGAGATAGTAAAGCTGGTCAGCTGCTTCCATAGATGAGAGCCAGAAGAATCCAGTCTCATCCTTGGCCGATCTCAATATGGCAGGGATTAATATCTTGTAAACATGATCAATTTACCTAGATATGGGGCTTTTTAAACTTAAATTTTAATGTAGAATGGATTATTTCTGGAAGGATGCATAAACAAGCTGAAAGTGTTGCTGCCTTGGGAGAGGAACTGGGTGGCCAGGGAACAAAAAGAAGGAGATTGCTTTTCCCACATACTATTTTGGACCTTCTGAATTTTGTGTGATGCCCATGTATTGCTTCTATGAAAAAAAAAAAAAAAAAAAAGAACAAAACTAAACATTAATGCAGAAGAAAGGGTCTAAACTAGGAAGCTTAATATTTCCAAAATTTTTCTTGCCCCCATCTTGCTCTGTCTTTGCTTTTCAGAGTTTACACTTTTTATGTTCTTATCTCACCTTGGCCCCGGATCTTACCAGTTTTCACAGCATGATGTCCGCACTCCAGCATCACCCCATTTTGCAGCCACTCCTTGGGCTCTGGCCCACTCATCACTTCATTAACCTCCTATAAGGTGATTTTATTAGATATATGCGTTAATTGTATGGGGTGATAAGGCCTGGATTCTGGCCATTGCAGGGAGAACAGAGGGGAGAGCATTTAGGGGGAGGGCTTTTTAAAGGGAGAATAAAGAAAACTTAATATATCTTTCAAATCTATCCATATTCCTATCCCCACTTCCACTATCACCTCTCTGAAAATTGCCCCAGCCTTCTAACTAATATCCCAGCCTCCTTCCGTAACCACCCGCCTTTCCTGTGGTTATCTTTTTTTGTCAAGATATATATCATTTAAAGAATCAGTTCTAAAAGGCTTATATAAAAACAGTAGTCTTCCAGCTTCCCTCACTCTTTAAAGACAATCGCTTAATTTTTAAAATTGTGTTGTTGTGTTTTGTATTCACCTTCATAATCCACACTCTGAATAGCATGTGAGTATTACCACTTCTTGGTGTTTCTGTTTTAGCTATTGGCTATTGACTTCCCACCGCTAACTCTCTTTTCCAATTCCCCTGTTACCCATCCCATCCTCTCATCTTTCCAATATTATATCATAATCTTGTTGGATCTGTTTTCAGTGTTTACATTATTATTAATGATTATGCAAATGCTTTCACAGTTGAGCCATGTGGAAAGTTAACAGTTCTTTTCTGTACCATTTTTGCTTACCCTGGAATTAATACTTGCCTTGTCTTTTTTGTTTGCTTAGTTTTTTGTGTACACTAATTTATCCCAAAATTCTCCCTTAGTTGTGTTAATCTCTTTTAAGGATATACAAACACATAAGGGATTTGATCTATTTTATTTGAAGAACTTTTCCAGAGCCTGATCTTTAGGAGGCACTAATGGAATCTCCCTTCACATTCTTTTGCCTCTCTCTTGTGTTGATAATCCTGTTTTCTGGAACCTATGTCTTCATCTTTCTTGGTTTACTTTGATGGAGCTTCTTAAGAAAGGGGTCCTAGGAGGTAAATTTGTTGAGACTTATTAAGACTGAAAATGTCTTTGTTCTACTGTTGCACTCAATTGACAGTGTGGCTGGGTATCAAATACTAAGTTGGAAATAATTTGCCCTAAGAATTTTTTTTTCTTCCTCTTTGATTCCCCCCACCCCTGCCACTTCCACCCTTGACCTATGGATGTTGCTGTTTCCCCTTAAGAACTGGATCTCTGAAGGCAGGGCATCTCCTCCCACATGCTCGCAGCATGTACCCAGAGCCTGGCACCCCTGGGGGTCCTGGTCCGTGACTCCACCTGGGGCATGAACCCAGGACCTTCTGCATGTAAAGCAAACATGCTAACCACTACACTATGGAGCCACCCCCTGCCCTAATAATTTTAGTCATGTCTCCAATGCTTTTCTCAAGCTTCTGGTGTTGCTGTTAAGAAGTCTGAAACCATTCTTATTCTGGATCCTTTGTATGAAGCCTATCTTTATTATCCTTCCCTCATCCTCCAACAGTTTTTAGGATCTTTTCTTTATCCTGGCATTCTGAAATTTTACATGGAAATGTCTTAGTGTAGTTCTTCTCAATCTGGAAAGGCATGTTCTTCAGTTATGGAAAATTTTTTTGATTTATTATTTTTTGGATGATTTTCTCTATTAATTTCTATTGTCTTTTTCCAGAACTCTTCTTATTCAGATGTCGAATCCCATGAACTAGTCCTTAATTTTCTTTTTTTTCTACCTTCTATATTTTTTTGCTCTACTTTCTGGGAAATTAATTTTATTTTCCAATCCTATTGAATTTTTATTTCTATTTTCCTATTTTTAATTTCTAAGAGCTCTCTTTTGTTCTCTGCATTTTTTAAGCATTTTTTTTCAAGCATTCTGTTTTTGTTTCATGAATGTATGTTCTTTTCTTCTCCGACAGCATTCATGAGTCTTTTCCTCCTTGTATAATCTTTATTTCTTCTAAGATTTTTTTCCTCTTTTTTTCTATTTGTTTTAGACTCTTTCATTTTAGAAGCTTTTCTCAAATGTCTGGTAATCCTCAGTTGTCTGCTTTCATTTAACATTGGGACACTAAAGTACTGAATGGAAACTGTATATGTGTATTGGGAGGTAGAAGAGTGGCATGTTGACTGTGAACTTTAGGGTGATCAACTAGGCCATTTCCTTGAGGAACCCCTGCTTTCAGTATCATTAGATCTTTTTTATTGTCTGATCAGATTTCTCAGAGAAGACTCTTTAAAACTCCCACTTGGAGGGTATAAGCCTGGCTGTAGGTAATCTCAGAGCTGGGTGAAGAAGTCTTGAGTAAATCTCAACATTCAGTATGTAAACTTTTATTTAATCTCCCTTTTCAGTATCTATCTAATCATCCACCTATCGATCTATCCATCTTTCTATCTTCCTCCCAGTGTCTTTATTTAGAAGTCCTAAGCCAAACGGGGCATTCTGTTATACATTCTTTATACTTTAGCTAGAGTAATTTTACTAAAAGGCAAGTTGACTGAAAATACTGTAATGACTCCCACTGCTGTCAGGAGAAAGTTCAAACTTCTAAATAATGTTTCAAGCTCTCCAAGCTCTGGCTCAAACCAACCCATCCAGCCATGTTTCTCTTTAAGTCAGTTCTAAACATGTTAGATTCTTTTCAGTACCTTAAATGCATTGTACTCTATCATTTGGGCCTTCTGTGCATGCTATTCTCCTGTCTGAAATGCTCTTTCCCCTTTCCTGCTTCCATCCTTTGCTTGAATGAACAATAATGAGAGCAGATGAAGAAGAAAAAGTCAAACCTGAGAGGACTATTGGTGCCAGAGGCTTTGGAAGTTGGTGATTAGTGTCATTTCTAAAACAAAATTCAGTTGCTCCTATTGCTTAAGAGTCCAAACCCAAACTTCAGTCTGACCGCCAGCACTCTTGATAATCTGCTTGACTTAATTTCTCTAACACCCCCTTCTCTTTGTCAGAATCACTGCTGATAGTCACTTTACCATTTCTACCACCATAGCTACTGCTGCTCCTTCTCAGACACTCTTGAAGGCATCTCTTCTTTTGCCAGCTCTTTAAATACTGGTGTAGTTGAGAGTTCCATCTTGGACTCAATTCATTGCTCAGTCTACACTTTTCTTTAGAGATTTAATTTTCTCTTACAGCCTTAACTATGACTTATATGCTAATGATTCCCACATCCACCTCTTTAGCCCAGACCTCTCCTGGGTCACACACTTATGTGTCCATTGACCTGCAGGACATCGATTCCTTCATTCAGTTAATATTTGCTGTGCCAGGAACTGTGCTAGGTACTGGATATAC